TTATAATTACAGTTTTAGCACAATAGAATACAATATTAACAAACCAAGCTCTAATGTAATCTTTTATTTCAAATAATCAATGATATTAGTCCTCTCTTTTTCTTTTTTCTTTTTTCTAAAGAAAACATGATTCATTATGTATCTTTTTAAAATTTTGGAGGTAGAATAGAACCAACCATATAACCAACAAAACAATAAAAAATTTGCTTTCTGTTATACTTGAAAGACCTACCATAGAAATGAAGGGAAGCCACCAGCCAACCTTCACGTGGAATTGTCATATGTCAAAGCCATGCGGCTTGAGGATGTGATATATCTAGAGAGCATGACCAACCGAACACATTTTAGTCCAAAGCTTATCTTCGAATCCCATGCTGCTTGCATCTCTGATACAAAAGCTTGTCGGCGATTTTAGTTGGTAGTTCAGCCATCCTACTTTTCTTATGGTCAGTTGGTTTGGGCCTTCGTAAAAGTGTTGCCTAAACTGAGTTTCCTATGTATTATTGTTTAGTTTGATTAATTTTATTAGTAAATAGCTTTTTCTATTTTAAATTACTAATTTGATTATTTGAAAATATTAATTTTAAAATTAATTTTAAATTATTAAGTAATAAATATTAGTTATTTAATCAATTATTAACTAATAGTTATATTAACAAAAATTTAATTAAATTAATACTCACTAATTTAAATATTTTAATTTAGGACTAAAATTAAAAATTTAAATCTTTATATTTGCAAGTAACAAATCCTCTAATATATATAAAAAAAATACTAACAATTACAGTTTTTAATATATTATTCTTAATAATTGAACGAAACAAAATTTATAATTTTTTTTTTGGCACATCCTACTTATGTAATTTGAGCCCTCTTTTTTCACTTAAAAAAGTAACTGAAAAAGTATTAGTGCGAATTAAAGTTATTGAGAAAGCTGTACTTCCTCCATCTTACAATATATGTATTCACTGGCAGAGCCGAGGGGGCCTGAGGGAGCACAGACCTCCCTAAACTTTTGTAAAAAATTCAGTTTAGTCCCTTACATTTTATTTTTATCATTTTTATCCTTTTTTTTATTTGGTACCGTTTTAATCATTTCTCTAGTATTTATGTTGTTGAAGATTACTTTTAGTGATAAAGAGAATGATGGAGAAAATAAAGATAATATAAAATATGTAAAGACATAAAAATTAACAGTTAAATCCTTTATTTGCATTCTAATTTTATTAGTAATTTGAAATTTTTTGCGGTTTTCAAATTATAAAGAGCGTTGATCGAGAAGAAAATTAGTTTAAAATATTAACCGTATAAAGAAAAAATGTCTAGGGAGTAAATAAGGTACTTTGGCCATTTTATCAAGAATATTTCCCAGCTCCGCCACTTTCTGTCTTCCTTTCTTTCTTATCAAGAATGTCAATTATTATTGAGGTTAATTTACTATACTTTTGTAATTTTTTTGGAGTAGTTCCAAGCTTAAAATATCACATTATAATTAGTAGTATTTTAAAAAACTAACTATTAGATTTAAATAATGGTGTGTATTTGATTTTAAATTGATATAATATTTTAACTTATTTGTTAGTTATAAAAAATTTAATATCAATTATACATTAAAAATATATTATATTTATTAGATTTGCTATAAATATTAAGTTGATTTAAAAATTAACATATATAATATATAAATATAAATAGTACATTTAATTTAAGAGTTAGTATTTTGAAATACTAATAAGAAGGTAAGCTTCCGGATCCACAAAAGAATTGCAAGGAATTTTTCATCCACACCTTTCCTTTCTATTTATTAATATGAAAAAGATTAATTTGCACACAAATTTTACATATCACACTTATATAAAATTTCAACTATTTATATCTTTATTTTCAATAATTGAGATTTATAATTATTGAAAGTAGGGAAATAAATGGTTGAGATTTTATATAAATGTGATATGTAAAATTTGTGTATAATTAAATGGATTGCTACTCTATTAAAATTTATTAATAAAGTAATAATTAAAGTTATTAGTACTTGTTGTGACCCAAATTCAAATTCACAATTCCAAACTCAATTAGATTGCATTTGAAAACGTATATTTATATTTGAAGTGTGCATTTTAAATATATGCATTTTAAAATTTATTGTTTGGATTGAATAAAAAAATCAAATTTAAAATACATGTATTTTTTAATATATATTGTTTGGATATGTTAAAATTTTGTGAATTTGAAATTTAATTTTTTATTTAATTAAATCCACTTCTAATTATTATCTAAATCAAATTTCTAATTTGTTAATAAGATAATATTTATATTTTTCATTTTCAAATATTTGAATAATTGTACAAATTGTCTCAAAATTAAAAGTTAAATACGCTTTGACAAAATTAAAACAAAAATGTCCTTAAAAAAAAGAACGCATACACTTTGTACCCAAAAAAGAAGAAGAAGAAGAAGAAGAAAAGAACACATTATAAATTGAGATGGAAAAGCTTGGAATAATCTATTGAATGTTCCCATTTTGTTTAGGAAATGCTAACATCATGTCTCCAATAACTAGCTTGTAGCAATCAAAATGGCCCAAAAGCATTGTCAACAATAGGCTATTAAGAGTAGTAATGACAAAGCAATTAAGAATTACAAAACTAGACCAAATAATCAAAAGATGTTGAACCTAGACATGATCTTGTTATTGGTATTATGAGACTAATCCAATACAATGCAAGAATTTCTTATTTATATAATGCCATAAATAGAATCAAATGACAAATATTTAAAGAAATTCAAGAAAGTCATTCTATAAACAAGAAAACAAGAGAGCAGTTATAAATGCTATAAATGGAGTTATACAATCTTAAATATAAGTAAACCAAATAAATTTTTCATAAGAAATACACCATTAATAAATCCTTTGCCACGAAGAATGAGATCAACCATTATTACCTTTGACCCATGGATCCTTATGACCTCAAACCATAAACCAGAAGAGAATAATGGTGTGGTTTTGAACTACTACAATTCTCCATAGAACCAGAAACTCAAAACAGAGTCACCAAACGAAAGGAGTATTTACTGTAAATTAAAACTGAGGAAAGATGGTAAAACCAAATAACTTAAAACACTTCAAACCATTCAGGAGACTAGGCAACACATCTGTCCTCCACTTCCATTGATTAAAAACAAACCTAAAAGCAAGCTAGTGCTTTCTTCTAGTTATCATTAACAACTCCGAAGAGCTTCTACGAATACAAAGTTGAGAAGTGCCTCTTGAGAAGTCAAATTGTTCAAAGAAAGAAAAAAAAAAAAAGAATGAAAGATATCACTTAGTATCCTGCAAAGTTAGTAAAAAACTGAAAGGGGTCATGATTTTGCTTTCTTCCACTGATTTTTTTCCAATGAGATTGTGCCATAGTCAGTAATATAGAGAAAGAATGTTTATGTTTTTCCCCGTAAGGTTTTGTACTCTAAATAATACACTTAATATGTCAATGTGACCAAAGTTCTATAAGAAAGGATACAAAAAAAGGAGATAGAAGTATTATTATAATATTTTTAAGAAAGTATGTTCATTTAAAACTGAATTCTACTATTATCTAATAATGATTAGGTAAATAATAGACTAATAACTGCTATTACCTGGTAACAAAAATAAGCACAAAGTCCTTTACTTTGCCTAAAACTACTCGGCACAAAGCAACAGGTAACAAGAGTTATGGTTTTAACTTATATCTTTACTCACATTTTCTTAGCAACCAAACAAAATCTAAAAATGCATGAGCAACACATACCTTTAGTTTCTTCAAAAGAAACGCAAGCCACAAAAAGAAAAACAACTAAAGTTTGAAATCTATACTAATTTGTAATCTACCAAACATGGGGTTTTTTACCAATGAAATGAAACTATAGAAAGCTCAAAATTTTGGTATTGTAATCTACACTAATATGTAATATATAAAAAATGGAGTTGATTTTACTAGCAAATTATACAAGAAAAAGAAAGAGGATTAAAGAAAGAAAAGAGTAAAGAGATAAAGATCTAAAATACAAAACGACTAGGTTTAAATCCAAAAGATTGGGCAACTACCCATGTGAGCAAATCACTTGGGAAGAGTAGAAATGTCAAGCTAAATATAAAATATGAAAATTAAACCAGCACAGTTTAACCTTAAATTCTCAGTTCAACCACCACATTCATGAGAATTGAAGTTTAATAATGAAATTTTAGTGATTTGCAAATGGGTACTCAAATTGCACATCTAGGAAAATAAAGTCACCAATAAATATAAACAATAACAAGAACCACAAATTAATATAGAAGGTAGATTGAAAGAAGGAAAACTCAATGAAAAGATTAGAGCCTAGATCTAGAACTAGCTATCAAGAGATGAAAAATCGAGGGGAGATGTAATTGCGGAGTGCTTTGAGTGGTCGATAACAATAGGATGAGAGGGTAGCAACAAAGTCTCAAATTCACTTTAAAATTGAAATTCATGGGTTTAAGGTTGAATTTTGAATACACATTTTTATCTTTTTGAAATGCCCAAAGTCAAATACACATGTATTTCACCCAAATTCAATTACAATCTAATTAAGTGAAAACAAACAATGATACTGAATTTGAGATGCCCGAATTCAAACACACTCTACAAAATTCACATACCCAAACAAACCATTGGAGTC